GACATCTGTGTCTACCACAGCGTTACAGCGTATAAAAACAGAGAGGCTACAAGATGAAGGTGTGAAAGAGAAGTTCAAATGTAGATTGAGAGAAAATATAAGTGGTATGGCTGAATTGTGTATGAATGATTTAGACTTGGAGACTGTGTGGTATAATGTCAAGAAAGGTTTAGTGGATGCAGCTACCGAAGTATGTGGTGTAAGCAAGAGAACAAATGAAAGGAAAAATAACACGTTATGGTGGGATGATGAGGTACGGATGGAAGTTGAAGCAAAGAAGAAAGCATGGCTAGATTTACTAGCAACCAAGGCTAGTAATTCTAGCAGTATGAATGATGATATTGAAAGGAAAAAGGCGGTTTTTAGACACCTAAATAAGAGAGTAAAAGAAGTAGTTGAAAGGAAAAAGCAAGAAAGAACGGATAAGAATGATAGAAGAATATCGGATAACTTCCAGGAAAACATTAAAATGTTCTGGAAACTCGTAAGAACTACCAGGGGACATTCACAACAGCCTAGAATAAATGCTATACGAGACCAGAATGGCTGTATTCTGAATGACGAAGTTTTGAGTTTAAGGAGATGGAAGGAATACTTTGAAAGCGTGTTTATGAGTGATGAGACGTTTGAATTAAATGAAATAGAAATTCCGAAAGAAGAGGAAATAGATAGAGATATAAGTATAGATGAAATAATGAAAGCAATGAAAAGTATGAAAGTAGGTAAGGCAGCTGGTTATGATAGAGTATCTCTCGAAATGCTAAGGGCTGGAGAAGGAGTGGTGGCAGACCTGCTGTACACCTTGTTTAATTTATGTTGGGAACTTAAGCGGGTACCGGGAGACTGGTGCAAAGCCGTGATAGTCCCAATATATAAGGGAAAAGGATCACAGCAGGACTGTAAAAACTACCGTGGTATCAGCCTTCTTAGCATTGTGGGAAAACTGTATGCTAAGGTACTAATTGAAAGAGTTATGAAAGAAACTGACGGAAAAATTTGGGATGTGCAAGCGGGATTTAGAAAGGGAATGGGATGTACGGATCAGGTCTTTTCCATGCGCATGATCGCCGAGAAGTTTTTGGCCAAAAACCAAAAGGTTTTTTGTGCGTTCATGGACTTGGAGAAGGCTTATGACAGAGTGGACAGGGATGTGTTATGGCAAACACTGAACTCATTTGGGTTGAGCGCTGGTCTGATACAGGCATTGAAGTCTCTATATAGGGACTCTAGTGCTTGTGTCAGGATCAACGGGGCCTACTCGGACTGGTTTGACATCCATAAAGGTGTCAGACAGGGCTGTGTGGCTTCCCCGTGGTTGTTCAACCTGTTTATGGACAGTTGTTTGGAAAATTTGAAAGTAGAAGAATGCGGGTTAAGAATGGGTGAGTTAACCGTCAAATGCCTTTTGTACGCCGATGATCAAGTCATACTTGCGTCGTCGGCAGCCGAGTTGCAAATGATGGTTACATTAATGAACAGGACATTAAAAGAAAAGGGAATGAAAGTGAACGCAAGTAAGACGAAAGTTATGGTTTTTGAAAGAGAAGAAAGTAAAACGATATGTGAAATAAGAATAGAAGGGGAGTTGGTAGAGCAAGTAGATGAGTTTGTATATTTGGGATGTGTGTTTAGCAGGGATGGTAGATATGATAAGGATATAGAACGACGAGTGAATGCAGGAAATAGAGTGAATGGGGCTCTACACTCTATTGTGAAAAGTCAGAATGTGTCCAAAAAGGCACGTATGGCAATTCACAATGCTGTGTTAGTACCTACTTTAATGTATGGTAGTGAAAGTTGGGTGTGGCAGAAGAAGCATGAGAGTAGAATAAATGCTGTAGAAATGCGGTCATTAAGGAGTATGTTAGGGATGAAGCTGAATGACAGAGTGAGAAATTGTTTAATAAGAGAAGAGTGTGGTTTGCAAGATGATGTTGTGACCAGGATTAAGAAAGGAATGCTTCGGTGGTTTGGCCATGTAGAAAGAATGAATGAGGAAAGAGTGACAAAGCAAATTTATGTTGCAGAGGTGAACGGCATAGTCGGGAAGGGTCGCCCTAGGCGAAAGTTTATCGACCAAATTGGCGATATATTAAAAATGGGCCAAATCAAGAGTACCTTTAACCGACGAGCGTGTATGCGTAGGTATATGGATGTGGAGGAAGCGAGAGAGGTGTGTCAGGATCGTGCCAAATGGAAGTCCATAATCTCTGCCTACCCCTCTGGGTGACAGGCGTGAGTGTTTATGTATGTACAATTTTTTTATAGGATAAGGGTGACAAACGAGCACACAATCCACCTCATGGTAAGTGGTTGTTGCGGCCTATAGACGTCTACATCAAACAAAATAAAGATGCGTTGTCACCCGTGAGGACTAAGATGGAATGCCTCATTTCCAGTAAAAAGGGTCTCCGGTTCTCTACACTCACCATACGAAACACAGCAGCGTTAAGCTGCTATTTTACGCTGGTATTCTGTGAGAGCGTGGTCCTTCCCCGGTCGAGCCGACCCATTCGTGCTACAACTTAAAAAAGTCTTTATGTAATTACGGAGAATTTTTTAGGTGACAATATTTATAGTTAAGACTACTAGAAATCTTATTTACGAAGTAAAAAGGCGAAAAAGCTGGAATTAGGGGCATAGCTGGGATTAGGGGCACCCACCCTATAATTAATTTTTACATATAAAACCAACATGCACGGCCGTAAGTATACCTGAGTATATGATTTTAATTCTAATTCGATACCTACACGCTTTCCCGAGATAAAGGGTCTTGACAGGCAGACGGACGGACGGACAGAAAGACGGACAAAGACGCCATCTTATGCTGCGACGTCATTAAACAAAACTTCTGAAATTTTGTAAATATGGTACCTATGTTTAGTCTTTTTACGTACTTAAATAAAATAAATAAATATCCTGGACATTTCACACATAAGTAGTCCCTGATCTCCCTTAGTGTTCTGTGAAACCTACTGTACTAGGTATGGAGGCCTGAGAAATACATAGATAAGTAGGTAGTTATTTAACACCTAGACACAGAGCAAACATCAGTGTTCGTCACACAAATGTTTGGCATGTTTGGACATCGAACCCACGACCTCAGGATCCGCATCCAGAGCTACTAACCACAGAGCGAAAAGGTCAGTTAAATAGTTATTGGTTATCTACTTTTATTATTCTGATTCGGCTTCTGGCAGGCAGCACAGTTATTTAACCTACCTAAACACAATCACAACTCTTTTGGTGGTAAAAAAACTGGTAGGTAGGTAGGTAGGTACTAGGTAGTTAGGTAAGTCCTTAGGTATTATTATGTGAATACCTATTTATTATCATACGTGTCGATCATGGATGAGGGGGTGCGTTTCCACTGAGGCGGTCTTTACTCCGCCCCCCTTCATTTGAGCCGGGATCACATCCGAATTAACTCATTAATATAACACCTACATAATATCGAGTTTCTAAACAGATAATCAAATATAGATAATAAAATACTCACCATCATCTTCTGATTGGAAAATTTACTCCACTCACACGATAACAAAAACCCGCGCAAACGTCTTGCCGCAATCAAATTTGCCAGTTTGATCCTCAAACGCAACGTAGCAGCTAACGCATATTTCTTACCTTCTTACTCTAACGAAATAGTTCTCTGTCACACGCAGAACGCGACGTTGCCGCTTTGTGTTTGCGTACCTATATGTCAGTTTAGGCTCTGGATCCACTTAGCTTAGGTAAATGTCGCATATAAGTTAAATATATTCTGGATGTAAGAAATCGTATTCAGTATGATTTTTTCGACCGTTGATGGACCAACAAATATTGGTCAAATCGCTGACGAGTATATTGAAAATTAGTAACCACAGATCCACCGACGTCACACGCGCATCAAGGATTGATCAAAGTATATTATTTTGTGCGACGCAGAGCTGAGTATATACGTAAAATAGGTGGATCAATATTTGTTCTAACTTCTCACTGGAGCAACATTTACCGTGAAAGGTTCTATATATATATATATATATGATTTTATGGGTAACAAACATTAAATGTACGACGTTAACTCTTCATAGTGTTTTTATATCCTTCACGTGGTAGAGCCATGCTGCAGTTATATTAGTAGTATATTTGTAACACGAATGGGTCGGCTCGACCGAGGAAGAACCACGCTCTCACAGAATACCAGCGTAAAATAGCAGCTTAACACTGCTGTGTTTCGTATAGTAAGTGTACAGAACCGGAGACTCTTTTTAATGGAAAAGAGGCATTCCATTTTAGTCCTCAGCAGTGACAACAGCACCCACTTACCATCAGGTGGACTGCGTGCTCGTGATGTAGGTAAATCATCAATCATTATTCATTAGACTAAAAAAGATACTGTTACCGCCCTACGAACTTCGACCGTAGTCCACCGCCACAATCGTTGCTATCTCCACTAGAAAATCTAAATCTTTTGTCAGATGATGGTAACCATTGAGTTATATGTACTACGTACTAGAGAAGCCATTCCGAACATTGACTATATTCAACTGAACTGTAGTGCAATCCCTACAAACTAAATATTGCGTAAATTGAAGATTTGTGAATTCCATAAATTAATTATTATTACATTTTATTTAGAAATATAACCTGTTTGTTTAGATGAAATTAAGATATTTTATATTAAATTCTTATATTTATTTTATGTTATTATCTTATTTTATATCAAATTAAAGTCTTCATCCCGCATGCGCGGGAGTAGTAGTCGCGCATGCCCGAAAACATAGAGTAGGACACAGTTTTTGTTTGAAATGGCTTCTCTAGTACGTAGTACATATAACTCAATGATGGTAATTAAATGAATCAAGAGGTTGTTCAAGAGGTGCTCAATCCTCTTATAATATAAAAAATAGAAAAAACTACATTAATACCCACATAATAATGCTTTTTATTATTTTATTAATTACTTTGTTATACTTTTGTGTCATAATTTTTACTTTTAATTTCTTTTTTTATGTCAGTACCTTTCAACTTAGTGGACGCTGGCAGGGCCTGTCTAGCCTCTTTGTCCAACAACCTCATAGTGGTGATGCAAAGAGTAAACACGCTGACCACCGCCATAGAAGACAGTATTATTGTACAGAATGAGACTGGCAATGTGGAGATTAACGTGGCTTCTGAATTCACTCGGTGAGTTTTTCTATGGAGTGTAGAGAGAAGGACGACCATCTCTATATATGAAAAGTGTCCCTAAAAACGTGTCCAATAAGGGTGGCGCTACAGTAGCATAGGATAAATAAAAAAAAGCACCAAAAGTAATTAGAATAAGATGGAGAAATAAACAAGGACCGACCAATCCACTTCGTTTTGTACTACGTAAATAGTTGAGATTTTGCATACTGGCATTTTACTAACTACTCTAGTCATAATTATTTTTTAAATATTTGAATTCAGCTGACTTCACTCCGTCTACAACAGCTATCTTCATATCGTAGTTTTTCAGACGCCGGCGCTGTTGTGGTAGGTTTTAGAACCTCTATTTTCAGTAAATAGTAGGACACATTTTCAAGTTTCGCCCCTTATATGATGGTTCTCCTTGTACTCTACACTCCATAAGTTTTTCTTAATAATATATATATATACATACAACGCCATCTGTCGAAAGCATAGAGCAGCACTGGTCACCGGCGGACCGGAGGGGAGTAGCCCTAGTGCTTTTTCTTGATACAGAATTGTCTGTCATTTTTTGCAGGGGGAAATCTGCGCACACAAATATAATAGTCTGTCATTACGAAACTCACACGTAACAAAACAGTTTACTAACAATTTCACACACACGTAGAAACTAATAACACTATTACTCGTTGACAGCGTTAACTTGGATACAGAGTCGGGTCCCCCTTTAGGGCTATATATGTTCTGTGCTTGAGTTAATCGCTAGACTGATTCGTATATTGTATGAGGGCGAACGGCCTGTGTTATTATCCGAAACAACGCGACCGCTAAATGTTGTAGTTTTTTTTTTTTAATTTAAAAAGGTGTAAATTGCAATAGTGTGATTAAAAATTATTTATAGTAGTTTTTTTTTAATTTAAAAAGAAGTAAATTGCAATAGTGTGATTAAACATTATTTATATATCAAATTTAACGCCATATTTTTGTAATATTTACAAAACGTAACAAAACTCTTATTGCGGCAAAAACTGAACAATTCGGCATATTTGTAGGACGTCGATTTATGCGCGCGACTAGATTTAGTCTAGTGAACAGTGCAACTGCAATTAGATTTATTTTACGCATAGGACCACTTGGACTTAGACAGAGGGGAACGCATGCGTATGGCTACATCCCTCCGGTTCGCCGGTGGCCCGTGTTGCTACATGGTCAAAAGCCATGTTGTGTCAGTATATTTTAAAAAAAAATATTTGTTGATGATTTCGTAAACCGTCCATAGGTATTTTCAGTCCGAGCTGTATTCGTCCCCTTTAAGTCTAGCACGGTCGTTACAACGAGACTGCAACCTATATAATATACCTTTAAGCTGAACCCACATTTGACCGCGCCGTACGCGCCGAATTTTAGAATTCGTTGTATGAAATCATATGAAACCTCGCACATTACACCCGCACCGTACGCGCCGGATTTTATAAAATGCGGTAGGTATACGATATCGAAGGACGAATGCTGATGACGTCATATAACGCGGTGCATTTGGCGCGTGTTGATACTCAATGTTGTCTAATTTTGCCAACTTAGTGGATTTTCCACTATAACTGGTGGTTTCGACTTACATGATAATTTTTGTATTATTATAACTTTTATTCATTCGTAATTAATTATACATAATTTGAATTTTTTTGCATCGATTTTCAATATGTATTCTTAGCGATAAATTATTTAAATACTGAACTAACAAAAAAATTGTTAAATTTAATTCAAAAACCCAATTATACCTGATTACTTAATTATCAATAAAAATACTTACTTCAAATATACAACAAGTCTTTTTTCTAGTTCAATTGGCCTTCTAAATCTTGAGTTCTCCATAGAAAGATATGGTTTTAGTATATGCAGCAATTCTTGAAATTTTAAAAAAAATCGTTCATCATCATCTAATAAGTCTTTAAATAAAGTATATCCCCTTCATATTCTAAATACAATTGCCTTTTTAAATTAATATTATGAATCCCGAAATCTTCTTTTTTTTCGAATTTAATTTTATTCTTCCTCTGCCAATAAGCAGGCTATTACTATATTTCTTTCCATAGTGATTTCGAGCGATCAGTTTCACTGTACCGTTCACACCAGTGGTTGGAAAAAACTACAAAAGTTGTTGGTAATACAAAAGATTTGCGTACGGTGCGGACGATGCGTACGGGTAAATGTGTGAGGCCATCAGTAAAACTCGGCGCGTACGGCGCGTACGATGCGTACGGTGCGGACAAATGTACATTCAGCTTTAGGCCTCCCCCAAGGAACGCCTCAAAAGGACGATTCTGAACTCCTGAGCCACCTGTATTATTTAATTATTTATATACAATTTTCCTCTGGGTATTGTGTATACAGATGGACGTATGTTAATTGTTCTTTACTTTTTAGAGACGACTATAACCAAATATTCGAGCTTCTGGCCTTCTATCGACAGTACGAAATATACACAAGAAAGTTTCTAAACGATGTCGACGTTCTAGTACAGAGCGCGACGCAGTGCGTAGAGCGAGTGCGGATTATTTTGCAGGAGCTGCACACAGCTGTGAAGTACAAAGCTGCGGTGCCGGTCGGAACTGTTTTTGTAAGTGTCGGGTGAATTATTGTATCTTACTTGCTAGTACCCGGCGCGTTGCTCCCGCAGAAGAAATAACTGTGGAAATATTGTTTGTAATTTGAAAGAATTATATATAGTTTTATAAGGAATTATAATACATTCATTGAAGTTCAATGATATATAACTTTCAAATATATCTGTCGGTGCGATAAGCGCGCCACCTACTGTAAGTTAATTGTACTATGCCTATATCCTTCGTGCAAGTGCAAGCAATAACTTGACAAAGTTTTGCCGCAATCTGATGAACGGTATGGCAGCATATAAAATACGAACAACCAAATATTCATTTTCTGTAGACTTCAAAAAGGAGACGGTAGGTACTCAATTCGATTGTATGTTTTTTTTAATGTGTGTTACCTTATAACTTTTTAATGGGTGAACCGATTTCGATGATTCTTTTTTTATTTGAAAGCTGATACTTCACATATGGTCACATATGAATTTGATCAAGGTCAGACCAATAGTTTTTGATTTATTCTTAATAATTTATATTGAAGTAGACTGTACATAATTTTTAATTTTAAATTATTATATATTAGATCTTAGCGATCATGGGTGGACACTGGCAACACATCTGCATTATGGTTGATCGAGGATAGATGTAAGTACACTCAGATCAATAAAGAAAAATTGACGGAGCTCTGGGTACATTGTAAGTGACGCCGAAACCAAGACAAAATTATACTCTACTTATTGATGAACACTATCACGGGGAATGCTCTGAGGAATTGTTCGGACTAATTCCAGCCGCTCAATTTCACCATCGCACATCGCGACAAAACTCGCGATACCATCCATACCATCTGGATGATTGGCGGTCCACCACTGTGCGATTTAGAAGAAGTTTTCTCCCTCGCACAACTTCCTTGTGGAATCAATTACCACCAGCGAATTTTCCGGACCGATACGACTTAGGAACCTTCAAGAAAAGAGCTTACACCTTTCTAAAAGGCCGGCAACGCATCTGCAATTCCCCTGGTGTTGCGGTTGTTCATGGGCGGCGGTAGTCACTTACCATCAGGTGAGCCGCATGCTCGTTTGCCCCCTCTTCTAAAAAAAAAAAAAACACTCGCAGGCAATCACTAATAATTCAGTATCTAAAATCATTCGTAACCAACAACATGGTTTTAGTTGCATATGTGTGTGACTAGCTGTGAATTTTTATGGACTGTTAAAAGAAAAAAAGAATGATGTATGCGTGAGTCAAGAAGGTGACCGCGGTTTCGGCGCCCTAGAAATATACACAGCGCTCTTTCCGTCTCATTTTAGTTGGTCTGAGTGTGCCACAACGCCAGCATCTATTTTCGATTCATCATCATCATTATTGCCCTTCACAAATTACTGAAACAATTCATTTCCATTGAAATATTTGTATGCCAATTAAAGGTAGATCATATAGGACAAAATATGCAACTGTTAATATCTAGTAAAGATATGTATTACTTATGATCAACAAATAAACATATTATTTGAGGTATTTATATAGTTTTCTCATCTAGTTGCCTTGTATAAATATATAAATAAAAATTATAAATGTGTATACATACTTATGGTTACCGGTTTCTTTCCCTTTCTCCCTAACCCTCGGCCGTTTGGTCTCCCCTGCCGAGGGCTTCCATCTGGTTGTGCTTATATTTATTTATATATTTTTATTTATACATTTTACTATTCTAATATATACTTATATATATACTTAATATATACTTATATATACTTACTATACGGACGATGCGGGCGGTATCAAATTACACTGCAGGCTTTTTGAGGCCGGAGCGGTCCGTCACGGAGTTCCAATCGCCTCAGATCAACAAATAAACATTGGGCCTCTCTCAAGGAATGCCACAAAGCACAGTCCTGAGCCACCTGCATCCACAGATTAAGAATCAAAATGAAGATGCGCTATCACTGAAGAAGACAAACATGAACGTCCTACGATACGAAATATATACGAGTATAGCTGTGTAATTTTGCGCATTAGTATGCTATTTCATGCTGATAACTGATATTTTATGCTGATCGTCATCGGTAGGGTCGATTCACTGTAGTGCAGCTAAAATACAGTTGTTGCTAAAATAGAACTAAAAAAACAGGTGACAAACGAGCACGCAGTTAACCTCATCATTTTTTTCATTGGATTGTGTGACATCTATTCTCGATTAAGAATCCAAATGCATATGTGTTGTCGTCACCTCCTGATGAATAAGATGGAATGTCTCGTTTCCAGTAAAAATAATATCCCGTTCTCTGCACTGTTTTTACGTGGTAGAGCCATGCTGCAGCTATATTAGTAGTATAGTTGTAGCATGAATGGGTCGGCTCGACCGGGGGAGGACCACGCTCTCACAGAATACCAGCATAAAACAGCAGCTTGACACTGTTGTGTTTCGTATGGTGAGTGTAGAGAACCGGAGACCTATTTTACTGGAAAAGAGGCATTCTACCTTAGTCCTCACGGATGACGACGAATCTGCATTTTTATTCTTTGTTGAGGATAAATGTAGATGTCTATGGGTCACAACCACCACTTACCATCAGATGGACTGTGTGCTCGTTTGTCACCCTATCCTATAAAACGACTCCATCACCATACGAAACACAGCAATATAAAACTGCTATTTTACCCTGGTATTCTGTGGAAGCGTGGTCCTTTCTTCTCTTCCTATTACGTAAAAAAACTCCTGTCACTTTGATTATCCAGAAACATGGTAACAATTTGCCAGCCCTTTTGTTAAACATTACTACTGCTGTGTTTAGGTTTGACCGTGGGAGGAAAAGGGGGATCTCCCGCGGGGCAAGGTGTTCAGCCCGGAGATCGGCCAACACACTGTGTATTATTTCGGAGTTGTTCTACATATAGCGCGTTCACTTGAGAACTTAGATAGCGCGATTTAGGCTTCGGTGCATTTCATTTATCGCATGACGACAGTGCCGCTATAGTCATAGGCATACAGTTGACTGCTGACGTTTAACTAAATTGCTAGCCAATGAACAACCGTCCGATTAAACCAGAATTTTTTTTTTATATATATATATATTAGATTATAGACCTGTTGGGGTGACGGCGCATCTGCATTTTGATTCTTAATCGATGGTAGATATAGATATCTATAAGCCACGGCATCCACTCGCAATCACATAGACTGTGTGGTTGTTTGTCAGTCTTATATTATAAAAAAAACCTATCAATATTAACATTCAGACATTGTTCTATGCCTATACTTGCAGCCACTATTCTCCAAGTTATGGCAAGTATGGCGGGACATGCAAAATATAATGTTCCTAGTATCGACCATCAACCGTTTGATGACAACCCTGACCAGTGTAGAGGAACAGATAAAGATGCCCACCCATATCCTGAACAGAATGCTAGTGGGCAAGCAAGTGCTGAACGACGAGGATCGCATGGGGCAAGTGAGGATCGAAGAGAGGCTGTCTTTAGGGTCTTTGAAGAACTACGTTACAAGTGACAGTAAGATGACGGCGTTTAAGGAAAATAATGTACAGGTAGGGATATAATTTGAACGGCCTTATATCTAAAAGTACTTACTCCCTAAAACACTCACATCTTTCTTCTTTCTTTCTTTAACAGCCCTTAAAAGTCAACTGTTGGACGCACACCTAACCTAAAACAATTTTAGTTGCAAATAATGTTTTTTTTTTTAAATAAATACCTCTGAGTCTATGAGAACTAAGATAGAACGCCTCACAAGCTGTTATTAATCTGGCTTTCTAAACCCTACGGACCGGAACAAATCAGTGTAAGCGTTGCTTTTTGGCCGCAGGAATAGGTTAATATGTAGTAACAACACACACTAATGCACAAATCTTTAATAAAATCTTCTGTCCGGGTGTATGTGACTGAAATCCTAAACGGCTGGACCGATTTTGATGAAATTTTAGTGTCTGCGATTAAGGTGATCCGAGAATGGTTTAGACTTACAATTGGACCCGGTAGGTGGTGCTGTTGTAGAGATCCAGAAATCACCCGTGAAAAGCCGGAGCTGATCGCTAGTATGCATCTAAATCTTTTCTAGGTAATAGAACTATTTTTCTTCCTAGGAGTCCGTCTCGGTAAGTAGCAACTCTCTTACCTATGTCTTCTGCCAAACACCAATGCTTGCACTACTGTATGTAAGGCAGTGGAGGCTTTCCATCTTAGAGAAGTTTTCAGTAGCCTTTGTTTGGATTTAAGGATATGGTAACAAACGAGCACACAGTCCACCTGTAGGTAAGTGGTTGCTGTGACCCATAGATATCTACATATATCCTCAATAAAGAATCAAAATGCAGATGCGTTGTCACCCGTGAGGACTAAGATAGAATGCCTCTTTTCCAGTAAAAAGGGTCTTCGGTTCTCTACACTCACCATACTAAACACGGCAGCGTTAAGCTGCTATTTTACGCTGGTAGGTATCCTGTGAGAGCGTGGTCCTTCCCCGGTCGAGGTAAGTCTATGGACTGCAATAACCACTTACCATCAGGTGGACTGTTCATTTCGCTTCAGTTTTATAAAAAATAAAGTCATGATTAGAAAATAATTTTACTTAATAAGAATTGCTTTAGTTTCTAGGATTTTGCGCTGTGTGCTTGTCCGTGGGTGCGCTGATCCCCAGCAACGTGAAGATTGGACATATCAAGTCCATGGGGAGCCGCTACGGATTCTGTAATGTTAAAATGGCCACGTTATTTAGCAAAACTCCTCAAAGGTAATAAAACGTGATCATTTACTCTTAGAGTAATATTTGTTTCGCGCGCGCAGCTCTGCAGCTAAAATGCGGTTTATTATCATAATCATTATCAACATGTCCTCTACTTAACATAAGCCTACCCTATGTACCCTATGTCACAATACAAAGTCCAGAGCCACCTGCATCCATCGAGTTCTTGCATCTTTTACCAGATCGTCACTCCATCTAGTGTGACGCCGCCGTACACTTCGCTTATCCGTACGATGCTGCCATTCGAAAACATTTTTCTAGATATATGACCGGCACACTGTTTCTTCTGCTTACTGATCCGTTGGGCCTGCAGCTTACTAATTACTTGAACTTTTTTTATAGAATAAGCGTGACAAACGAGCACACAGTTCAACCGATTGTAAGTGGATACTGTGGCCCATAGACATTTATCTACACTTATCCTCGATTAAGAATCAAAATGCAGATGCAGGTCACCCTTGAGGATTAAGATGGAATGCCTCGTTTCCAGTAAAAGGGGTCTCCGGTTGGAGAGTGTAAAGCCACTCACCATACGAAACACATCAACATGAAGCTGCTATTTTACGCTAGTATTCTGTGAGAGCGTGGTCCCACCCCGGTCGAGCCGACCCATTCTTGCTACAACCATAATATAACTGCAGAATACAAAAGTAAGTAGTAACTTACACCTGTAACAAACTTCATAGGAAGTAGGCCGCGTATGCATTATAATCTTTGACTTTATTAAACCTGTTTAAGCACTCGCTGTATATTTCCCAGTACGTGAGTAACTCGAGTTCGATCCACGCCGGTACCGATGAAATTGATTTCAATTTTAAGTACTGATTTACCACGTTCTCGGCGGTGACTGAAAACATTTGAGGAAAATATACATGTCGGAGAATTAAAAAAAAAATTTCGTAAGACATGTGAAATCCGCCATCTTGTTTGAGGCATCGCAATGGATATTACCTTGCCCTAAACCTTTCCTTTAGAAATTAGAGCATGCCTGTGTCTAGCCGTGGCACGTATAAAGGCTGCAACTCTTAGATTATATATAAGCATATATTTTAAGCATTATGTATACACTCAATGAGTTACGGCGCTGAGGATCGCGGCTTCTCGCACAGAACAAGTGGCCAAGTGAACAAGTATGGCCTACAAATATTTGTTCCGGATCTGGATATTTGTCCCTGTACAATTTATGTATGTAAACTGCCTCCACGATACAGGAGAAAATCCTAGTGTTACGTTTTTAAAAAAAGAAGAACGTTACTTATTATTTTCAGGTACATAAACGAAGTGCTAGATTACGCTCGGAACAATCCGCACGTGATAAACCTGCTCAATATCCTAGACGAAGTGGACAGAGTAAAGGATGTCGATGTGCTTATCAGCAAACATCTGCCAAAGAGTAGGTTTTGCAAGGACTTAAATTCTTTTGTAATATATTTTGATAAGAATAATGTTTCCAGACCGAATTTCAGTCACGGTGGCCAGTCTCAACGGAGACTAGCCATCTGCGCAGGACAGGATCATGGTGCCCGCGTGTATGCGCAATTCACTTTCATGAATATGAAAGTGAGTTGCGCATACACTCGAGCACCTTAATCGTTTACTGTTAACAGTGCATTTGCGGTAGTTACAGGGCAGTAACTACCGCTACTGTAATTGTGAAGTGTAAATCGGCCTTAAGAGCACCCCTTACCTCGTTTCTGCCCATACAGTCTCACAGAGATCCTACCACCTACTTTCTAAATTTAAAAGATGTCCATATTCATTACATGGAGCTACAGTGGGTTGATAAGTGCATAGCTAATGGTGATAGTTTCCCACTAGCATAATTCCACATTTTGGTTAAACATTTAGAATTGATGTACCGCTATTTATCTGTAGCCAGAACCTCTTAAGTGTTTGGATGTAAGATGATGGAGGATCGGGCGGGATGGTACGGTAATCCGACTCGACCGGAGAGATATCAGGCACAGGCGTGTTTTTCGAGGCACGAGGGTGAAACACCCCAAATTTCCCGACACCAGGCTGCTACTGAGAATTTCTTGTCAGAAAACCCAATTACTGATTTTGGCCCGACCCAGGATTCGAACTCGAGACCTCATGATCAGCCATTACGTTTACCTCCAGTAGACCAACGAGGCAGTCAATATATATACGGGGTTGCGATAAAGTTATCACATTAAATGAAAAGACTGATCCTACATAAAGTTCTTTGAACATACACAACTAAAAAAAATATATGACAATTAACATTCTAGTCGCAATAGCCCTTTTCTCGTTTTTTGCCTAATTACTTATGAACGGGAAAGTGTAGGTAAATATAATACCTTATAATTACCTGTGTCGGTGCCGCGTGAGCACTGCGCACCTGCCGCACCGTTGCCGCTTTTACATGTCACTTCTGGTCACTAAACTAATATTATCAATGTGATTTATTTCATGTCAATTGTTACCCTATTCATTTTGTTTGAAAGACGCATTTTTTATTTTTAGTAGAATTGTTTATTTTATTATTTTAATCGACATATATGAACTTGTATATCCGCTAAGTTATTTAATGTGGTAACCTAATCGCCACTATGCAGTATTACTATTATTAGTATGCTATATTACTCTTATATACTATAAGAGTAATATATTTTAACACACATACAAGCGACGAGATTATCCGCCTGTCATAATGGTGATTTTGAAAAATGCTCTTTACAATGGAATACATTTATAGACCAGTAAGTGGCTGGATTTGATTAAGAAATAGTATTTTATAATATAATATATTCATATGGTACAATTATATATAATGTAGCTTCTAGGAAAGATGTCTCTTTCTGTCTATTTGTGGGTAGAACCTCGCCGCAGTGCTTATTGACTTTAGATCGAATGGTTCGGTTCGACCGGGAAAGGATTACGTTCGCACAGAACGGATAAAAAAGCTGTGGAGCATGGTGGGTGTAGAGAACCGGAGACCGTTTTCACTGGAAACGAGATATTCCATCTTAGACCTCAGAAATAACAACGCATCTTCATTTTGATCAGTGGCAGCTTTAGAGGGTGTCCCGGATTGCAGAGTCAAGGGACGTCACGAGTGCTTTGTAGTTTCCTGTGCTGGTTAAAACCAGCAAGAAACTCAGTGGAATTTTTTTTAAACAATAATTTAAAAAATATAAAATGTATCGATTCCGACAAAACCTAAGGTTGGATTTAGTGCTCGACCGACGGTCAGCACGTACCGTACGCGCTGACGGTACGTCCTCATCGTCAATTGAGGCCAAGCGTTTAGTGCTTAACTGACGACAAGCTTTGTTAGACGTTTATAATTACGAAGAAAAATTAATCCATTTGTTAACTCTATAATATGTCCGTACTATTTACGCAAACGATTACGGCATAAGCGACGGAAAAGATATCATGTGCACCCAATAATTGTAGACGGTTTAATTGAAGGACAATTTTGTTCATTGTATTCGAAATTGCGAGAACAATGTTCATGTATCAATGTTCATTTTTGTTCGCGATAATGCGTACGCGCGTACAGTCGGTCGCTCTGTCAGCGTCGCATTGAACGCACGCATGTACTGCCATAGAGCCTCAGTCAACCGACGTACGTCGGACCCACAGAGTACCGTTGTATAAACCGACCGACGTAAGTCGTACCGACGAGATCGACCGACGGTCCTCGTACGCGCGACGTAGCCGTACGCGCGTAGTACTTCATCAGCGCTGTACTATAGCCGTTAATAGGTTTTCATTGATATAGCTACGCTCAACCGATGTCAGCGCTCACCGTCGGTCGAGCACTAAATCCAGCCTAACAGCGGCAGAGACCCATGCCCAGCAGTTATAGACTTTCATGGGTTGATGAAGGAAAACTCATTTAGAATTATTTTTGCATATTTTAATAATACAATGATTGGCCATTTTGATAGATGCTTATCTAATAATATGGATAGCTGATGAATGAGAAGGTGAAAAATAACTCATTTAGAATTATTTTAGCATCGTTTAATAATACAATGGCTGGCAATTATGATAGATATATGCTTATCTAATAATATGGATAGCTGATGAAAGAGAAGGTGAAAAATAACTAATTTAGAATTATTTTAGCATCGTTTAATAATACAATGGCTGACCAATATGATAGATGCTTATCTAATAATATAAATAGCTGATGAAAGAGAAGGTGTAAAATAACTAATTTAGAATTATTTTAGCATCGTTTAATAATACAATGGCTGGCAATTATGATAGATATATGCTTATCTAATAATATGCATAGCTGATGAAAGAAAAGGTGTAAAATAACTAATTTAGAATTATTTTAGCATCGTTTAATAATACAATGGCTGGCAATTATGATAGATATATGATTATCTAATAATATGCATAGCTGATGAAATAGAAGGTGAAAAATAACTAATTTAGAATTATTTTATCATCGTTTAGTAATACAATGGCTGGCAATTATGATAGATATATGCTTATCTAATAATATGCATAGCTGATGAAATAGAAGGTGAAAAATAACTAATTTAGAATTATTTTAGCATCGTTTAATAATACAATGGCTGACCAATATGATAGATGCTTATCTAATAATATAGATAGCTGATGAAATAGAAGGTGAAAAATAACTAATTTAGAATTATTTTGGCATCGTTTAATAATACAATGGCTGGCTAATATGATAGATGCATATCTAATAATATGGATAGCTGATGAAAGAGAAGGTGAATAATAACTCATTTAGAATTATTTTTGTTTATTTCATTAATACATACACTTCCAGCGGAGGTGTGTGACAAGGACATCCAAACGGAGACGCATCCTGTAGACAGTTACATTGAGAAAAACTACACACCAGATCTTTGGGAATGGAAGAGGAGAGCTTGCCAATTGGTGCGTGCATTGATTGTTAATTAAATATAAAATATTATTTACATAATGTACAGTAAGCTGAATTCGCACTAGGCCAAAGTCATATAGCTCACAAAGTACCAACACCTGATAAGGAAAGAAAGGTTCTCGAGATGCCTCGTAAGCGAAGTCTATGGCGGCCTCCCATTAGTTGCAGGGACGACCTGGTAAGAGACGTACGAAGTTGATGGATGTATGTGGCTTCGAATCGTGCTTTGTAGCATTGGGGGAGGCCTATGTTCAGTTGTGGCCAGTGAGAGTCGATGATGACGATTTCATGCCGGAACCTCTCGACCCACTACTCCTATCTTGCTACATGTGTGGACATCTGCAGTCAACTCCAATTATTGTAAACCTACTCTAAGTATGTTGTCACCATCACAAACTAATGTAGAGTTTTAAGAACATCACAGGACATGTAGAGAGCTTACATATATGTAAAAATAATATCAAATATTTTTAAGTAGATGACGCCCATAATTAGTCTTAGTTCAAACATGGATAGCCTTTCTACGTGGTAGAGCATTGCTGTAGCTATATTATGGTTGTAGCACGAATGGGTCGGCTCGACCAAGAAAGGACCACGCTCTCACACAATACCAGCGTAAAATAGCAGCTTAACACTGCTGTGTTTCTTATGGTGAGTGTAGAGAACCGGAGACTGTTTACTGTGGAGAATATTTACTGGAAAGGATTTTGGATTCCATCGTAGTCTTCGGGGGTGACAACGCATCTGCATTTTAATTATTAATCGAGCATAAATTTAGATGTCTGTGGGCATCAGGCAGGCAGCATCCACTTGCCATTGCTCGTGCTTGTTTGTCACCAAATTCTATAAAAAAAAAACCTATCAGATAGGTGGTGGCTTCCTTTTCTATCTTGGTGTTTTTTTGGGCAGGTATTTCTTCTTTTCTCGATTTCTTGACAGCCACTATTGTGTGCGTGTATAAAGGTGTGATATAATTGATTTTGACGTATGTATATCAGCTTTAAGGTTTACTCTCTGTCAGGAAGTTGTATATATTCTGGACAACCCTCAAAACTCACAAATCATTGTCTTATGATCCATGCCATTTAAATAAACGACGTAGAAACATGGTTGCCCAGACATACAGAACTAAAACCACATTTACGAGCAAACAATTTATATCGCGTTCTGCCTTTCTTTATAATAAAATAAACAAAGATATTTATATATACGACAAAACATATCACAGCTGTAAAAATCTTTTGTTAGAATGGATTCATCATAAGACATATGACGAAATTGAGAAGCTACTGGATTGTGTAGCATGATTTGTTCAGATTCAGACATTGTAATCACACATACTCTTTTTAACTCACGCAAGCATAGACACTAACACACACACACACCCACACACACACCCACACACACACACACACACACACACACGCACGCACGCACGCACGCACCCACGCACGCACGCACGCACGCACGCACGCACGCACGCACGCACGCACGCACGCACACACGCACGCACGCACGCACGCACGCACGCACGCACGCACGCACGCACGCGCGCGCGCACGCACGCACGCACGCACACACGCACGCACGCACGCACGCACGCACGCACGCACGCACGCACGCACGCGCGCACGCACGCACGCACGCACGCACGCACGCACGCACGCACGCACGCACGCACGCACGCACGCACCAACACACACGCACACGCACACGCACACGCACACAAGTAATAGAATTAATATAGAATTTAAGTAATATATAACATTAATATGGATATAGAATATGTTTATCCATACTGCCTTGTAACATGGATATAGTAACGGAAGGGCGGACCCTCCAAACACAGGCATTATTTGCTTAAATGGAGGTTCCAATCTACTAGTTTTTAAGGCATTTACTTTTTAAAAACGAAATAAAATTTATTTATAATTTATAATTTCATTTATAATTCATTCATTATCAGTTTATTAATCCATTATAGTTTTATAACCTATCAAAAGTCTACCGCTAAACGTATGCCTCCTTAGATTGTCTCGTCCCCCATACTTGCCATAGTTGCCTAGCTTAGCAGGCGGGCTGGTAACCTCCGTTTTTCTACCGACTTCAAAAAGGAGACGGTACTCAATTCGACTGTATGTTTTTTTTAATGTGTGTTACCTCATAACTTTTTACTGGTTGAACCGATTTCGATGATCCTTTTTTTGTTTGAAAGCTGGTGCTTCATATGTGGTCCCATATAAATTTGATCAAGGTCTGAGTAATAGTTTTTGAGTTATTCTTAATAATTTATATTGAAGTTAGTTGTACAAAATTTTTAATTTTTAATTATTGTTACCTATTGTGTGTTGTTATAAGGAAGATGCTGCTGCACGTCTTGTTAACATAAACACTCACGCCTGTTACCTAGAGGGGTAGGCAGACACTACGGATTAGGCTTGGGCAAAAAATATCGATATATCGAATAATCGATATATATCGTCGATATTATAAGTCGCGATGTATAGATATACGATATTTATTTTAGAGTATCGAATTCGTATTAATTATCGATATATTTTAAAATATTGTATCGTTTTTTTTCGTCGTACAACCGCCAGTAAATAAAATTTTGGACCTTATCTTAACATCATGCAAATGATGACGATATATCGATATTTATCACGCGATATATATCGATACTGTTTAAAAATATAGATTCGATATATTTTTTTCCATTGCCCATCCCTACTATGGATTTCCATTTGGCACGATCATGGCACACCTCTCTGGCCTCCTTTACATCCATATATCTACGCACACACGGTCGTCGGTTAAGGGTACTCCTAATCTGGCCCATTTTCAATGTATCGCCGATTTGGTCGATAAAACTTCGTCTAGGGCGTCCCTTCCTAACTCTGCCGTGAACGGCGAGAAGTGAACTTCTGCATAATAAATTTGCTTTGTTACTCTTTCCTCGTTCAGTCTTTCTATATGGTCAAACCACACTTTTCTCTTATCACACAATTTCTGAACCTATCATGATGACTTTAAAAGGTTAACCCAATCTATTAGACTGCGTGGCATTCCATCCTAGTCTTCAGGGATGGCAACGCATCTGTGTCCTTCTTTATTTTAAAGTTGGCTGGCGTCCACGGCCGGCGGTAGATGAGCTATTGGTTCAACGATTTGTCAAATAAATTTTTAAAACATTCTAGGCCACAATCGTGAACTGTCGGACTCATTCCACTCAAACGAACTACAGCCACCTAAGATCAGAGATCCAGTGTCAGACTTCAGAGCTTCGAGACAAGGGGCTGCAAACTAAAAAGGACTGCGGGGTTAATACTGCCCCGAAAAATACTTTCTTGTGGGGTCTGAGAGGACAACTGGGAGATGGGCAACATGTACTACCATTGAAAGATGCACCACATTTGGAGAAGCAAAAGGGTGCGATATTCATATTAGCTTAAGTACTTTATAGCGATGCATTAGAATAGAATAGAATTTTACGTTGCGGTGCCATGCTAAATTGTAGCACGATGAGTTTGGCTCGACCGGGGAAGGACCACGTTCTAACAAAATACAAGCATGAAATAGCAGCTTAATACTGCAGTTTTTCGTATGATGAGTGTAGGAACATGATATCCTAAGAAGCGAGGCATTCCATCATAATATTTAAGGTGACAACTGACAACGCATCTAAATTTTCTTTATAATAGAGGATAGATGTTGGTGTTTATTGGCTACAGAGTTGTTAAAACCCCCAATTTTAAATTATACTATAGCAAGTAATATAAAAAGGGAAACCTTTACTTTCGGTCTGTCACGCGTAATGTTTTATTTTTATATTCAACTAGCTGGCTGATAAACCGCGACTTTGTCCGCGTTGCTTGATATATTAACAAAGAGATCGCAAGCAAAAATATACCTTGCTAACAAAATTTCTTTGTAAACAAATTTATTCGTTGCATATATAATGTTCACTGAACACGTCGTGCCTATAAAAATCGTTGTTTCTTAAAACTTTTCTATTAAATGAAGATATCGCAATATTTTTTTTTTTTTTAGATAAGGACCAAGTGTCTAAGAAATAAAACTTAGAAAATCTAATTGAAATCTATCCAGTAGTTTTTCCATGATACGCGCACAACTGCAAACCTATATCATTTTATTTATATAGATTTAAAAATATGTTTTAACAGCTCTTAATAGCTACTAGAGTGTTAACACTTCGTGAGACAGAGAGTGCGAAATCTCTTTCTAAAGCTTTATGTGTCATATTTAATGCCGAGTACTTTAAGTTGTTCTTGTTCTTCATTGGCTGTAAAAGATCACTGCTTGATATGAATCTCTCCCACGGTAGAAGGGATTTGCCTCAAACGTGGCTTTTAGTTAAGATTTACGTGGTAGAGCCATGCTGCAGTTATATTAGTAGTATAGTTGCAGCACGAATGGGTCTGCTCGACCGGGGAAGGACCACGCTCTCACAGAATACCAGCGTGAAATAGCAGCTTAACACTGCTGTGTTTCGTATGATGAGCGTAGAGAACCGGAGACCCTTTTTACTGGAAAAGAGGCATTCAATCTTAGTCCTCACGGGTGACAACGCTACTGCATTTTGATTCGTAATCGAGGATAGATGTAGATGTCTAGGGGACACAGCAACTACTTACCATCAGGTGGACTGTGTGCTCGTTTGTCACCCTTATCCTATAAAAAAAGATAAAATTATAATCTTTCATAAGTTAATACTTATAACGTACGTGAGGGTAATACAGTCATCCGGTTAATATTATCACTTTCTTATAACTCAAAAAGTACAGGCTTGTCTGCATACATGGCCCTGTGATACGACAGCTCTTCATCTGTCAATCTAATAATATAAGGTCAAAAGGGCGCTGATTTATCGACGCCATTTTGACAGTTGACAGTTTGGTAAATATGGTCTTTAACTGACTTTTTTAAATTGATTTTGGAAGTGTTCCTAATTATTGTTTGCTAATTACTCTGTCCTCTTCCCAGTTTTGGTTTTATAGGGCAACAAAGGTTAAGGTGAACATATTATCCTCACGTATCTTATTTTTCAACCGACTTCAAAAAGGAGGAGGTACTCAATTCGACTGTACGTTCTTTTTATGTGTGTAGCAAGTCGCGGCACGTAAGTCTAGCGCTGAACGAAACGTGGAGGAGATGCGCACGAATTGCACGAATACGGCTGGAGAGCCAATCAGCGCGTGAGAAAGATACGCACGAGCCAATCAGCGCATCTTATGCGCAATAAGCCAATCAGCGCGACTTATGCGCAATAACGGTCAAAGCTAGACTTTCGTGCCGCTACTTATATTTTTTTCGGTGAACCGATTTCGATGATTCTGCTTCTCGTGTGGTCCTATATAAATTTGATCAGGGTCCCACCAGTAGTTTTTGAGTTATCCTTAATAATTTATATTGAAGTCGGTTGTACAAAGTTTTTAATTTTACCACTTGGTTTTATTACGTTACTTGTATTTCAGCACAACCCATAAGAACGTGTAACTGGCTTTGTCAAAAAGCTGATCAAATTGGCGACACTGAATCATTAATTGAAGCAATTGAAGCCCAAACCATATCGACCGACGTATGCCGTGAAGAATGAAGCACTGAGCTGAAATATATTTAGTGGACTTACTTTCTTAATAATAATTAACACGTTGTGCTATTTAAATATATTAGTTTATATATAATAATCTAGTGCGAAGTGCTGGTACCTAGGTTTAACCAGCTACAACTAGATGCAACCGATTGTTGTTGGTTAAATTTGGGTGTAGTTAATCAATTTAATAATAGGTAATATGAGTTAGCCACAAGAAGTAATAACCCTAGGTTTACCTATCCAATAAATGTTTGTATCTAAACTTACTATATTACTTTTTTTTTTTAAAAAAACTTGATAGGTGCTATCGTATTTTGACCAATTTAACAGAATTCACTCGAATTAGTATACGGACTTTACTAGACCTAGTTTTACTCGAAAGCAACTGGCCAAACCAGGTTTTTGCCATGAATACGCATGGTCGGTTCCGTGGCGTAGTGGTTGAGCAATGAAATGCCGCGGGTTCGAATCCCGGACGGAACAACTACTTGTATGGCCTAAAGCCTACAAATAATTTTTCCGGGTCTGGATGTTTGTCCTTGTGAAATTAATGTAAATAAATTGTCCCCACTATACAGAAGGAAATTCTATTGTGGAGGTAACGTTTTTTGTAAAATAAATTGATTAAATTCACCTTATTCCAGTCGATTCGGCCGCAATCGGCTGTACTGACTTATGTAGTTGTAGGCGGCTAAATCTGGGTGTAACCGCACTTCTGCTTTTAGCCATGACTCTAGTAAAAGGTAAATCATTTTTTGCAGCTTGTTTTATTGTACTTTTCTTTTTCTATTTAGCTTACATTCTATTATTTTTGTTTATAAATGATTAAATAATAGAATAAAATAAAATTCTGATCTTTTTTTCTTCATACTAATGGATTCGCCGTTGACTTCATTTAGTATATTATAATCGAGGTAGAAAATCGGAAAAAAATATACCAATTCCGATGATTTACTCCGTCCGGGATAGATATGTTATGGACCAAGTGATTAATCAGGCCACTATTTATACTGCCCGTGCAATATGAATAATGACAAGTCAAATCGGGCTACGTAATTAGGTAATACTGATTTAAACTTCATTATTTATCACATAAACTGGTCACAACCTTACTTAACCTATATTTTTATTACTCTGTCCAATAATTAACGGACTTTATTCATAAATCCCGTGAAATTTAATTATTTCAATGGTTTTTATCTGTTTGTTCATTTTTTAAACTGTCTGAACACGTTACAATGACGTATAGATCACTTGGTCACATAACAGATACAGGAAAACACGTTTCCGAGACTAAACCTCGGAGAGGCTGTTTTGAGGTGGGTAAACGGAAACGGCCCACTTCAAAGAGTATGGCCCAACAAAATTATTGTAATTATTAGTTGCTAACCTAAAAATCCACGCAAGCGCCCCGATAATGACTTAGTAGTCTTAACAATTTAAAAAAATTTAAATATCTAAAAGTGCACCGAGACGGTTTACAATAGTGAAATTCAAAAGGCTTCCAAAGGATTAAATAATAGTAAGTAATAAAAAAATCAAAGTGATAAGTCCAGTATTTCGACTTAAAATCTGAAGATAATAAAAAAATCAAAGTGATAAGTTCAGTTTTTCGAATTAAAATCTGAAGGTAATAAAAAAATCAAAGTGATAAGTTATTTTTTTTATAGTGAGAGGGGGCAAACGAGCATGCGGTTCACCTGATGGTAAGTGACTACCGCCGCCCATGAACAACTGCAACACCAGGGGAATCGCAGATGCGTTGCCGGCCTTTTGTAGGCTCTTTTCTTTAAGGTCCCTAAGTCGTATCGGTCCGGAAAAATCACTGGTGGTAATCGATTCCACAAGGAAGAAAACTTCTTCTAAATCGCACAGTGGTGGACCGCCAATCGTCCAGATGGTATGGATGGTATCGCGAGTTTTGTCGCGATGTGCGATGGTCAAATTGGGCGGCTGGAATTAGTCCGAACAATTCCTCAGAGCACTCCCCGTGATAGAAGCGATAAAATACGCAAAGAGATGCAACATCTCTACGCAGTGCCAATGAGTCAAGCCGATCGGAAAGAACTCGGTCGTCGACGATTCGAACCGCTCTGAGTTCGATGCGGTCAAATGGAAGGAGCTGGCACTGGGGAGCCACTGCCCAGAGATGGGAACAGTATTCCATGTGAGGCCGAGCCTGCGCCTTGTAAAGTTGCAGGCGGTGTGCCGGCATGAAATACTGTCCCGCTCTGTTGAGCACGCCAAGCTTTTTAGAGGCCAATTTGGCCTTCTCTTCCAAGTGACCACGTAACTGCACGTCACTCGATATGTCGACACCAAGGATCCCGATACTGGCTGATGCAACAAGGGGAGTGCCTTGAAACTGAGGAGATACGACAAAGGGGTTCTTTTTAGCGGTAAACGCGCAAACTTGTGTCTTCAGGGTATTGAACTGGACTAGATTTAGTCGACCCCAGTCTGAGACTTTGTTCAACAAAGTCTCGACTTCAGACACAAGTTTGTTCCGGTACTCGACGACGTTTTCCCGAGAAATATTAGCACGGCCGGTGTATAAAGCATCACCAGTGCTGTCGTCCGCATAGCAATGAATGTTACTGGTTTGCAACATATCATTGATATGCAGAAGAAACAGCGTTGGTGATAGCACGCAGCCTTGTGGAACACCAGCGTTAATGGACTTGTAATCGTTGCATGCACCGTCTACTACGACCTTGATACTCCGATCTGCAAGAAAACTGGTAATCCAATTGCACAATTTCTCGGGAAGCCCATTGGAAGGGAGCTTCGAAAGAAGCGCTTTGTGCCAAACCCGATCGAAGGCCTTTGCTATGTCCAAACTAACGGCCAACGCCTCCCCCTTGGACTCCACTTCCTCCGCCCATCTATGAGTTAGGTAACCTAAAAGATCACCAGCTGAGCGACCTCGACGGAAACCGTACTGGCGGTCACTAATCAGCTGGTGATCCTCAAGGTACCGCATGAGCTGGTTGTTAATAATGGTTTCTATTACTTTGGAGAACAAGGAGGTGATAGCAATAGGCCTGTAGTTGGACGGATCTGAGCGGTCGCCTTTTTTAGGGATCGGGTGCACCAAAGCTGTCTTCCATGAGTTCGGGACTACACCAATGGAGTAGGAGTACCGGAAAAGACGCGTTAAAACCGGTGCCAACTCCGGAGCACACGTCTTCAGCAAAATAGGTGGGACTCCATCAGGCCCACTCGACTTGTTGACGTCCAGGGAGAGGAGTGCTTTACGCACCGAGCGCTGTGTAAACAACACTTCCTGCATGGAGCACTCACACCGCGGGATGGTCGGCGGTGTGTTCCCCCCGTCATCTAGAGTCGAGTTGGAAGCAAAAAGAGAGCCTAGCAGATCGGCTTTCTCTTTTGCGCCATGGGCCAGTGAGTCGTCCCCCTGTGCAGAGATGGCAGAGATGGCTGATAGAAGTTCCCTTGGACAGCCTTGGCCAGAGACCAGAATGCACGTGTTCCCGAAGGGAGGCGAACTAGTTTCTCGCCAATTCTGCCGATTTGCTCTGACTTTGCCTTGGCCATGACACTTTTGAAGGACCTGGAGGCGTAATTCCGCCTCCAGGTACTTATTTTTAAGAGCGCTGGTATTTACATCCCGGGACGTTGATGCGTCGGCCCATGTTCAGTAGCACTCCTGCTTATAGCGTAATGCAATTTTGCACGAGTGACCAAACCATGGCTGATTTCTGCCATGTTCAGTATTTCGTATTTCGAATCAAAATCTGAAGGTAATAAAAAAATCAAAGTGATAAGTTCAGTATTTCGACTTAAAATCTGAAGGTAATAAAAAAAAATCAAAGTGATATGTTCAGTTTTTCGAATCAAAATCTGAAGGTAATAAAAAAATCAAAGGGATGTTCAGTATTTCGACTTAAAATCTGAAGGTAATAAAAAAATCAAAGTGATAAGTTCAGTATTTCGAATTAAAATCTGAAGGTAATAAAAAAATCAAAGTGATAAGTTCAGTATTTCGAATCAAAATCTGAAGGTAATAAAAAAATCAAAGTTATAAGTATTCAGTTTTTCGAATTAAAATCTGAAGGTAATAAAATAAATCAAAGTGATAAGTTCAGTTTTTTCAAAGATAATATCTTGTTCACATCCATACCGACCAACTGACGTCCAAGTGAAATTATTTTCAATTAACTTTTTTTTTTAAATAATCTTATAACTATGTCTGAAGTATTAATTGAAATCTCCTCTTGCGATTGGTGTACTTTTTTTACTATATAATGCAATATAAAGCTGGTGGAAGTGATTTGAGTGGATCGCGATTTTTGATTTGGTGACAAGAGCACTACATCTCTGCTTCGCGTTCGATGTGTGCAATGTTGCAATAGGATAGATAGGCAAAGACGATAATGCATGATATAAACCTTTCATATAAACTAATCTTTAACACGTTTTAATTAAAAATTAAAATTTGTACAACCGATTTCAATATAAATGATTAAGAATAACTCATAGTCTATTGGTCAGACCATAATCAAATTTGCGACCGAAACAAGATTTTCAACCGAAACCGAAAACGAACCTTCGGTCTGGGTGTCAGTTTCGGCCGAAACCGAAACTTATTTAGACATGTTAATTTTTTTATTGTATACTGAAATCTGGTATATTTTTTATACATATAAAAATATATAATGTATGTTAATAAAAACAGTAATTGTAATAGTCATGTAGCAATATATTTATTTATTTTAAAGTAAAAATCAACAATTTAAGATTAAGAAATACTTTTTAAGTAAAAAATCTACACTTACACCGATAAAAAGTTACTCGCTAATTGAGAACATACTTTATTGTGTTCACAATATTGTTAATATTATTAATGAAAGCATTAACTTAATATATCACACTACACACACACACACAATATACACACAACTTAACAAAATCCCAGAAAATATACAAAGCCTGCTTAAAGTTCAAAAACTTTAATAAACTAAGTTTGTATAAAAAGGGTTATTATAATATTAAGGAATTTATGGATGATAATAACCCCTAGGAATGAGCTGATCACTACCAATGTATTTCTAATTTGTTTTGTGTTGTTAATTGTGTTCCATACATGATTGTAAGCAGTGGCGTAGTTAGGCGTGGGCGAAGTAGGCCCTCCCCTACGGCCTCGCACATAAAGGGGCCTTGTATGGGGCCTCGCAAGAAGCCCCTCTTAAGTGTGCGAGGCCGTTGTAACGTTGTACCTTCAAAGACCGCGCGCTGTTAGATTGACGGAATACGAGACTTGTCAGAAATTAATAGATATCAGTAGGTATGTCGTGTCAAACCATGTGGCATGTCAACCATGGATTTGGTAGGATCTATTGGGTAAGATCCTTGGAACGAAATAAAAGGGGCCTCGCTGATACAACTTCGCCCGCGTTTATATTAATCCACGCTACGCCTCTGCTTGTAAGCTGTTATGTAAAAAAAAGTCCCGCTGGGTTTCTTGCTGGTTCTTCCAAGGTCAGAGGTTTTTTTTTTCGAACCAGTGGTAATTAAACAAAAAAGTGACTTTCAATAAGTATTATTTATAATCTATATTGTATAAAAAAGTTTCTGTTTCTGTATAATTATGAATAATACACGAGTCAGGAACTCATCTGAATGACGCACGATAATCCACGAACACTGAGTTTCGGCGCCGCCGAAGGTTTGGCAGATTTTTTTGCCGAAACCGGAACTATTACCGAAACTAGATTTTTTTGTCGAAACCGAACCGAACCTTCGGTCGGTCACTAATTTATATGGGACCACATGAGAAGCACTAGCTATCAAATATAAAAAGAACATACAGTCGAATTGAGTACCTCCGCCTTTTTGAAGTCGGTACAAAATATACTTCATTATATTGGGAAACCAATCATCTTTCTAACAAACTATCTCCCCTCCCCTTCCCCCACTTTACTCCGTGACCATGGGTGCTGCAAAGCACCCGAAACGTGGGGAATTAAAAATAAGTAAAATTAAACGCGATAAAATCCGTAAAAAAAAGTTTTATTCAAGAAATTATCTTCTTAATCTATTAAACGTGTCTCTCGCGTCTCTAGTGAAAACCACATCATCAGCTCGCTGCCTCCAAGCTACGGCTTCCTCGTGGAGTGTGTTCAACACTGACAGCTGCGCTTGGAGAGCTTTTGGTAACACGGAATCTGGTACAGAGAGCTTCGAGAACTTCATCTGTGGATGGACAAAATTTGCATATACATACATAAACACTCACGCCTGTCGCTCAGAGGGGTAAGCAGAAATCTCCTTCACATATGCATTAATGCTCGTGGGTTAAGGGTACTATCCAATCTACAAATATAAATAAAATTGAAGTGTCTTTCTATTAAAATAACTGGCTTCTATTAAGATTCCTGTTAAGCATAAGGGGTTATTTGCATGAATAACCATTTTAACTCCCGACGCAAGCAAAAGGCTGTTATATATTGAACACTAGCTGACCTGATGAACTTCTATATAAGATCCCCGTCGGCACCAATGAAATTGTGAATTGCAATTTTAAGTGCTGATTAACCACGTGCTCGACGGTGAAGGAAAACATCGTGAGTTAGTCTGCCAACACGTATTGTGAAACCCGACGGTGAGTTTTTTTGAAAAACCTCTCAGAAATGATATAATCCGTGCCCAGCTGCGGAATGTATATAGGCTGTAATTTTTATTAGTTAATTTTAAGTGCTCGCTTACCACGTGCTCGGCGGCGAAGGAAAACATCGTAAGGAAACTATTGTACTGACGAATTAAATATTTCAAAGACATATTAAGTCCGGAAGTACACACTGAAGCAGCGCGGCGGCGGACTAATCGCTATATAGCTGTCTAGGTGATGAGAAGTGGCCTATACCCAGTACTGGGACTTAATTTCATCTAGACCGAATTTCTGTCACGGCGGCCACTCCCAACGGAGACTTTGTATTTGTACGTGGTAAGAGTCCGCTGCAGCTATATTATGGTGGTAGCACGAATGGGTCGGCTTGACCGGGGTAGGACCATGCTCTCACAGAATACCAGCGTAAAATAGCAGCTTAATACTGCCACATTTCGTATGGTGAGTGTAGAGAACCGGAGACCCTTTTTTTTTTACTGAATACAAGGCATTCCGTCGTAGTCCTCAGGAGTGACAACGCATCTGCATTTTGATACTTATTCGAGGGTAGATGTATATGTCTATGGGTGGTAGCATTCACTTACCATCAGGTGTACTGTGTACTCGTTTGTCACCTTTATTCTATAAAAAAAAGACCAGCCATCTTTGCGCAGGACAGGATTATAGTGTCAGAGTGTATGGGCAAGCACTGGTAAAATCTCTATTCCCTCACTCTCATAGTCCGATGGGACGGTTACCCGACACGACCGGAGAGACCTGTAACTGTGATGATTTTTACAGATTATGTTGTGATGGTGATTGTTTAGAGTACAATTTATTACTCGGATCTCTCTCTCTCTCTCTCTGATCGAACATTTGCAACCAGCAATTTGTTTCAGGTGCATAGAGCAGCAGACTAGTGCAGTTTTAATGAGTGCGTGTCAAGTTGAGCATAGTTTCGGCATCACTTAAAATCTATAGCTCGAGCTCTAGAGCTCGGTCTAATAAGATTATCATCAACTTAATTCCATACCGTGGGAGGGTTTTGGCGGGAACTTGACCGGCGGCGGTTTGCAACTCCTGTATTATTGTTTAAATAATGGTTTTTAGTGGATTTTGATATGTAAAAGTAGTGCGATTTTGTGTATTAAGTGTCTGCGCATGTGAACTATTAATGGAAACTGTGAAACAAGTGCTCTGATCGTGATGTGATTCTCAAGATAAGGTGTCTGCCTACTTAGGAGCCTTGAGAATCGCCAACTGTTGGCTGTCTGCTGGCTCAAGTTGCCGTCAAAATCTCGCAAGGGCTGCACAATGTGACGCATCAACATATTGTGAAGCAGTATACTATAAAGGATAATTATAATATATTGTAACTTCAGGCTCAGAAGGGCTAGATCCCAGAGCCGTAAAGCAAGTTATTAAAAAAAATCCATACCGTGGCTTTCTTGCAGCTCTCCTCATAGGAAGCTACTTTCTGTTTCATCTGCTTGATGTGATCCTGTATATTCTCAGGATTGGGCGTTTGGCTCGCTAAAGAATTTCTCGAGCAATTCAATTCATTCCTCAAACCATCTAAGAATTTTCTGTTACGGTCTATTTGCGTTTGGAGTTCTGTATTCTTCTGTTTAAGTTTTAGTATTTCATACTCTTCGTTCAGTTTCCTCGATATTTGCAGTGACTGTTGCAGTGAAATCGCGACAGGGTCGAGCTGATCGATGTCCACTTCTAGCTGATTACAAGCAGCCAATTTTAATATTTCTTGACATTTCTGTGGCAAGGTATCAATGGATATGTTTAGTTTTGATAAGATCTCTGTGGTGGTGGTCGCTGAAAACGTCACGAAAACGGTTAAGTACAATGAATAATATAACTAATGTCCTTTAGACTGAATTACAATCACGGGGGCAAGTCTTAACAGAGATTAGACATCTGCACATGACAGGATTAAAGTGCACGAATGTGTACGCAAACACAGGTGCACTAACTATTGTCTCACTCTCCTAGTCCAATGGGACGGTAATCCGACACGACCGGAGAGATCAGGCGCAAAACAACGGCTTTACTAGCTTTCTAGCGCACGGGAGTGAAACACCACCAACTTCCTGACTCCGGGCTACTACCTACTGAAAATTGCTTATCAGAAAACCCATTAAGAAACCTTGACCCGACGCGGGACCTCACGATCAGCAAACGCGATTACAACCGCTAGATCACCGAGGCAGTCAAACACAGTACAAGCCGCGGCACGTAAGTCTAGCGCTGAACGAAACATGGAGGGTATAGCTGCGTATAGGTACTGTCGCAATACGTATCACGTATCGGTACGGGGTATGGAATGCGACTGGAGAACCAATCAGGGCGTGAGAGCGATACGCAGAGTCAATCAGCGCGTGCGAACGATACGCACGCTCGCCCCCCGACTCGCTTACTACCACATGATAGGTAACTTATTTTCGACTTACGCGCAATAACGGTCTCTGCTAGACTTACGTGCCGCGCCGTATAGTACAATGCATAAACAAACAGTCAATGCAACATAACATTTGTCAATGTGTGTGACTTACTTTTAAATATTTTTTTAAAATTCCATATCAACATTAGCAAAACGGAACATTACAGCCTATCTAGTCCTCTTCTGAACATAGGCCCATCTCCCATAGAAGGAATATTTGTCATAGTTGCTATGTTTGGAAAGCGAGTAGCCAACAGCAGTTTTTTTTTAATTCAACATTATCAGGAAGATGCTGCAGCTCATGTCTTGGTTCAGTTTTCCTCTGTCACCTCTTACGACACCCACAGGATGAAATGGGGTAGAGCCATGTTGCAGCTGTATTAAAGTTGTAGCATAAATGAGTAGGCTCGACCAGAGAACGACCATGCTCTCACAGAATACTAGCGTAAAATAGCTGCTGTGCTTCGTGTAATGAGTGTAGAGAACCGGAGGCCCTTTTACTGGAATCAAAGCATTCCCTCTTAGTCCTCATGGGTGACAATGCATCACTATCATCACAAATCTGGAGATAGGCAGCAGTGCCTTCGCTTGTGCCACAATATAAGAGAAAATCCTAGCGACGGGGTAATGTTGTAAAAAAAATCGCCACTCACAACTTCCATACGGAATTAATTATAGTATTCCTGAATAAATAAATTGGGGTAGTACTGATCTTACTATAGAAGTAAAAAAACAGTGATGTGGAGTTGTTAATAAATTTTATATTATATTTGTTCTGTATTGTGTTGTCCACAACTATTGTTTAGTCGGATTTAGTTTTGAGCCACATTGTCACCTAAAAACCGCCTACTCCTAACTTACCTAGAAGCCTCAAAACAAGTTGTGAAAAACCAAAAACCGAATAATGGCAGAATTATTGTGACCTATCCACAATGTCAAAAGGCCATTATGAAAGTTCATACATGGTAGTAATATGAATTCAGCATTTGGCCTATTCAGTTATTGATTGATTTTCAAAAATGCATCCATTATAATGTATAAATAATAATAATAATGCTTTATTCCACCAATAAATTTTAATAAATAAATGTAAAGTCCCTGATTCCTAATGTGATGTAAATTGTAGTATTAACTATAAGTCTCTACATAGTATAAAACAAAGCCGCTTCCAGTTGTGTGTGCGCTTACATCTTTTAAACTATGCAACGGATTTTGATGTGGTTTTCATCAATAGACACAATGATCCAAGAGGAAAGTTTATATTGCTTACTAGTGATCCGCCCCGGCTGACATGAGTAATTTCTGGATCTCAACTACAGCACCACCTACCGGGTTCAAATGTGAATTTAAGCCATCTAGGTAGGGACCCATTAAAACACACAAAAAATTTCATCAAAATTGGTCGATCCAGTTTAAGTTTTTGTGAGACTAATGGACAATTTCTATGTTTTGACTCTTAATCCAAAGATAGATGTAGGTGTCTATGGACCACAGCATCCACTTACCGTCAGGTTGGCTGTGTACTTGTTGGTCACCCTTATTGTATAAAAAAAGCTTGACTTTGATAGACTTTTTATTTTTAATTGGAACTTATAAGGAAAGAGACCATATACAAAAAAAAATTAAACCCACTAAAAATAAAATTTATTTACAAACAATAGTAAATAAAACTAATAAATCAGACTACTTTATGGAGTCTAAGATTGGAAATTTAACAATACTTTCAATTCTTTTAGCAACATTTAACAATAATTGTTCGGACATATTTGGACCCATCAGTTGAAGGGAAAGGGGTAAGTTACTCTTAGATAAACGTATTGGTATGGACACAGCTGGTATACCAGCCATATTAGCTGGCTGCGTACAATAATCTTGCAAAGCACATTGGTCTCTATTATGTTTGGACACAAAATCTCCATATAATGGCGCATCACTCAGTGTAGTTGGTGTTAAAAGTAAATCTACACGGTTATCACCATTGAATACAAAATTAAAATCATTTGCTATAAGCCTACGTAACTTTAGAGCTTTGAGAAAATATTTTTCATAATTCCTTGTAAGTAAGAAATAATTTCCAGCAAATATTCGTGACCTGACAACATTGTTAAAGCCTTGAGATCTTGAGGAAGCATACAGTTCTTCCGTTGAATAGTCTTCATTTGTTCTTAACCCAAATTCTAAGCCATCATATCTAGCCATGTTACTGGCAACTTCACATTGATTTAATATTGAATATACAGCGATTGAGACAGATGTATGTGGTAAGGAGACAGTTTTTAAAAGGGCCTTTTCATTTTCAAGTAAATCTGCTACCCACCTCCATGTATCAATGACCTCTTCATTCATACCCTCACAATGGTATTCACTAGGTATACCAATTCTTAAATTTGACAAATCAAAGTTCTCCTGTATTTCTATAGGCTGGAATTTCCTTTTTATAGTTGTTGAATCCAAATTGTCTGGCCCAGCAATGCAATTTAATATTTCAGTAGCATCATCAATGTTTCTCGCTAGAATTCCTGGCACATCCATAGAATTCACCAAGGGTATGAGGCCATATCTGGATACTAAGCCATATGTTGGTTTAACACCTACAACACCACACAATGCAGCAGGATTTCTAGTAGAACCTCCAGTATCAGAGCCAATAGCAGCTATGCAGGCTCCACTACTGACAGCTACAGCACTTCCTCCTGAGCTGCCACCTGCGATTCTCCAATCAGTTTCACCATTATAACCCCAAGAATTGCGAGTAGGACCAAAGATGGAATCAACTGTTCCAGAGCCCATTGCAAACTCATCTAAGTTACTTTTCCCAATTAGACAAGCACCACTTTTAATTAATTTAGCGTAAACCGTAGCATCGTACGTTGGAACGAAGTTTCTTAACATTTCCGAAGCGCAAGTGGTAGTTATGTTTTTGGTACAAAAATTATCCTTAATGGCTATTGTTACCCCATCAAGCGGTTTTATTTTCTTGTCTATATAAAAGCGTTTTTCACTATCAATCGCATGATTTTCGGCTACGTCCTCAGTTACATTCACAAATGCATTTAATTCACTGGTTTGCTTCGCCTTTTGCAAACACAAATCCACGAAACTTGTTGGAGTTAGAAGCTTATCGCGATAAGCCTTATGGACTTCTTTTATTGTAAACGATGTTAGTTTATTCATTTTTAATATTTATTATATAAATAAGGCGAAATATCAGTTCTATTTGTAACGTTAGGTTACAAACATTTTATGACAGTAGACAAATACGACTAAGTTAAGAATGTAGTAACACCGAGACATTAGCAACATTTATCAAGACGTTTAAAAATTTGTCAATTAAATTCTAATTTGATATCAAATACTAACTCACCAATTGCCAACTGTTCCTCTTTATCTTTTAGTATTATATTTTCAAGTAAACTCGTATTTATATCATTCTTTGAACCGTCCATTCTTCTATATTTATTTTTTAACAGTCTTGTTAACGGAGCGCCAGAATTTAAATTTGACACATGTAACATGTAATATCTTTGATGATAAGTTAAAGCAGGTAAAGTCCTAGGACCATCGAACCTAGTCTTATTTATAAATTATTCCCAAAATCTTCCAAAATATTTTGACATTTTACATTGCGAAGTTCTTGGGAGATGACCCAAAAAACAGTCGAAGACGGTAATATCTCAAAACTCCTAAGGGGATAAGAAAACCCAAGATTTATAACACCATCGAAGCACTTATTACGCACATCGTTTCCACCCATATCCCATCAGTTTTACGTTTATAAATACACTTCAAACAATTATTTATACGATAAAACAGGAGCAATTTGCTGGCGATCGAGCTCTCGCCAAAATTCACAGTATAAAAGTAAGATTGTAGGGACTAGGCAATTGAGTATCCACGTACTTTTCTGCCACCAGGGCGGCACCATTTAATAACAAGGTGAAATATTTGACAGATTTTATGTCGGGGGAAGATAATTTGTTAGATAAATGTAAGGGTTCAAGTTTCTCTCTAAAATATTAAGCGTCTTATACACAGTCCATCTTGACGTACGTAACGCCAAGGTTATGCACGATGCACGATGCAAAACGACAATGAATAGGCTTAACTTACGGCACTTGACGTACATTATTAATGATGCAATCCGCCGCCAGTCAAGTTCCCGCCAAAACTCATTTATATATAATTAGATTACAAAAATAGCCTTAACACCGTTGAGTTATACAAAACTAGAGGAGCAAATCACATTGCCGCGCGTCGAAAAAAGTGTAACCACTATCCAAACGCGACGACGTAGCTTTGAAATCATTAAAATTTTAAAGTAAACATATATCTGTCTCACTTACACAAGTCGCGGAAAACAATATCCTCCCTAAGATTAGATAAAGATAGACACACAAACATGCAGTGGCGGGTTGGTGTTGCATACTTTATGAAATTTTACCCAAAATGAGCAATATAAAGGAGTTTTTTTTTAAAGTTGCAGTAAATTGTTTTTATTTTAAATTTGTATATTTTCTTATTAGATGAACAGAAGTAAGCATAACTAATGAAATAAAAGATGTTTTATATATTATTTTTATTGTACTAATACATCAAACAAAAAATAAAGCAAATAAAAAAAACAATTTAAGGTTTCTTAAGCGAGATCTGTGTTGAATATGCATAAGTTGTGAAATCATCAGCAAGTTTTTGTCTCTTAAATTTAGTCTAATGACATTAGCTACAAAAACTTTGGTTATCAATAAATTTCGTTGATTTTCTTATTTATAGAATTTCCATACTACTTAACAACTTTAAAAAGTTTTTATATATTTTTTTGCAACAATACTGAGGATAGTTAATGGATTCAGGCGTGACTCTGCGGAAGTTTATTTGTAAGATAATATAAATGGTTTTAATCTGTAATACTAATCCGCTTAAATATTCATAATAGTCCATGCTCTCAAACTCCGCTATGAAGCATCAGTTTGTTATATAATTGCCTTTTGGATTATTTTTTGTGTATTTGAGTGTATAATTTACTTTCGTGGTACAATCTTATTTTTAAGTACTTATAAATAATGGCATTAATCAATAAAAGGGAATGATCAACTTGTATTGAAGATAAATGATCCCCCGGGTGTATTGCAAATTCTTTTAATAATTTATTTCCTTGAAGGTCTTTTAATGTTTTTGTAGCTAATGTCATAAGACCAAATTTAGTAGACAAAGACTTATTTTCGGAAAGTTTGGAATGCAAATTTATTAATATAAAATAAAATAATAAAATATAATTAATAGACCATTCATGAATAAACTAAAATAAGAATAATTAATTATTTTGTATAAAGGTTGAAACATAGTTTTTATTTTTAAACAAACAATTTTACTTGTTTATTTTAAAACAAAATTAACTTATTCCATAAATTATATAGTCTCCCATTAATGTGGAAAAATCACAAAGGCGGAAAAGTGGCAACATTGAACCTAAATTGCAATATTCGATATTTTATTTTATGTTTTAGTGTTTTAAACGTTAATATTGTTGCGCGCCACTATTAATGTCTTGTACATGGCAACACTAGTTACACTAGCGCCCCCTAGTGTCGAGTAAATGAAAGTATTGCGCGCCACTATTAATGTCTTGTACATGGCAACACTAGTTACACTAGCGCCCTCTAGTGTCGAGTAGCAGAACTAGGAGAGTCGAGATCCTTCCAGAAACTTCGGGACCGATATGTACTCGAACATTCTAGATGTCGCTACAGTAGGAGGTTCTGGAAACTATCTGAGGCCCTATATAAGGCCGGTATAGACCACGACCGGGGCAGTATTGAATTGGCGATACAAGAGAATACTTCGTAGCGAAATAACGGCGAACTGTGTTTTATTATTAGTGTGATTTTAGATTGTAATTAGTGTTGTGTAATTAAAGTGTCAATTTCGGTAATTCAATCGGCAGTTTTTAATTGTCTCGAACCCCAAGCTCGTAACAATATGAATATATAAATTAAACCTTACCTGTGGAAAGTGATTCCGCTTAATTTGTTATGTTTTTGAGACCTTGAATCGCATTCTTTCACTACGCATTTACCCATTTTTTGTCGTGAATCGGTCAGCTTAACTCGGACGGCGTCACATTGAACACTGAACCGACGTTCGCTGGGCATATGGCTGTGGCCATATGAGAAGTGGCAACGCTTTGGCGTGGCAATTACTTATCTAGTGTAACATATAAATCAATGCTTAACACTCTGTGATGACAGATCTTGATATCATATTTTTATGAAGAGAGTAATGTAATGGCATATATCCAAAGCTAGCGTAAGAATACAACCCAACATAAATGTGTGATAGGTCAGAGGAGCTCAATCAATATCACCAAAACTCGTTATAACTTCACTGTTAAACATACGCCATGGATCATAAATTGCCACAAGTGCTGTTCTAAGCTACCAGCATTCATCGACGGCCTGCGTGTTTCAACAGGTCAACACTTCATCTATTAGCGGTTCACCCGCTACTGCGCTTGAAAAAACAACACCCTTTTCTAAAATTTAATGATTATGTACTCTTTGTGCACTCCTAATGAGGGCTTAAGGTGTTTTTGCTCAACATGGTAATTCTACTCTCCGGAATCTAAAGCACCTTATCACGATCCATCTTGCTGTACTTAGTAGTTAGAGTAGTACATAGTAGTGGTGCTGTAGTTAGTTAAAGTAGGACTGACGTACGTCAATACGTCAAATAATCACGTACGTCAAGCCTACACATCGTCATTTTGCATCGTGCATGACCTTGGTGGGACGTACTGCGAAACAAAATACAAAAATTGCTTAGGTACTTATCCCTTATCATTCCATAAAAATATTATCACGACTATCAACAATTTAGAACATAAAAAACTTGAACAACAAAATATCAAACTATGACAACGATACCCTATTGTCGTATTATGGCAAAAGTTAACAATAATGAAACACTAGGAAATATTGTAATACATTTATTTTTTCTTAAAACGAAATTAAATGTTTAAACTGTTTGCCTTCGGCAAGAATACAGGCTCTACATCGCCTCAGAAAATATCTTGTCACTAATCGTACGTATCTCTTTGAGTTTATTTTATCTGCTGTTTAGGCTATTTTGCGGCGTCGGTCAGCTAAATATTGTATTAGTTTCAAGCACACTTTTTCTTTTATGCAGCTCCAGTAAAAGAAGAAAGTGGATTTAGGTTAGGAGAACGAGGAGACCATAAAGTGTTAAGATGTCCAATCCACCAACCGGAATATTCTGTGTTTAGATAATCCCGTACTGGATGAGCATAATGCGCTGGGCAACCATCTTGTTGAAACCACATATCCCGGTAGATATTGAGTGGTACATCTTCTAATAAATTCGGCAAATTATTTTGTAAAAAATTAAGGTACTTGTAGCCATTTAAGTTTCCAGGTAACTCAAATGGTCCGATTATTTATCCTTTTAAAATTCCGGTCCACATGTTCACTTTAAATTAGTATTGGGGGAGATCTACACGCATTAAATGTGGATTTTCTATGTGCCAACCGTGTAGATTGTGTTAGTTTAAATAACTGTATTTTTAAAGATCGTTTCATCTGTCCATAAAATCTTGTTAAGAAACTGCGGATCTTCACGATTTCAACAACAACAACAAGTGCTGGAACCATTTTCAATTTTATTTAAAACTACGTCATCTTCGTTTTGTCGTGATCTCTTTTTTATAAGATAGGGTGACAAACGAGCACACAGTCCACCTGATGGTAAGTTGTTGCTGTGGCTCATAGACATCTACATCTATCCTCGATTACGAATCAAAATGCAGATGCGTTGTCGCTCGTGAGGACTAAGATGGAATGCCTCGTTTCCAGTAAAAAGGGTCTCCGCTTCTCTACACTCACCATACGAAACACATAAGCATTAAGCTACTATTTTACGCTGGTATTCTGTGAGAGCGTGGTCCATCCCCGGTCGTGTCGACCCATTCGTGCTACAACTATACTACTAATATAACTGCAGCATGGCTCTACCACGTATAAGAAAGCTCCTAGCTGCCGTACGAACACTTGGCATTCGTCCTTTTGAATACGACTAGTGCACATTGATGAACACACAGTGATCTGTGTGACGTGCCGCATTTGGGTAACTCTTCTGATACAAGCTGGCTGTAACAATGGCAT